TTCAACATACATGTGTGTTCTCACGGCAGCAACTCAACTTGCTTGAACAAACTTAACATCAAGTGCCTGCTACACAAATCCCGAACTGAGCCAGGGTTCCCTGCTTTCTGCAACACACATGTGTGTTCTCACAGCAGCAACGCAACTTTCTTGAACAAAATTAACGTCAAGTGCCTGCTACAAAAACCCCGAACTGAGCCAGGGTTTCCTGCTCTCTGCAACATACACGCGTGGCCTCACAGCGGCAACTCGACTTGTTCTAAAAAAAGTTAACATCGAATGTCTGCTACACAAATCCCGAACTGAGCCAGGGTTTCCTGCTTTCTGCGACACACATGTCTGTTTTCACAGCAGCAACTCAGCTTGCTCAATCAAACTTAACATGAAACTTCTGCTACACAACTCCCGAGCTGAGCCAGGGTTCCCTGCTTTCTGCAACACACATGTGTGCTCTCACATCAGCAAATCAACTTTTCAATAAAAAGTAACTAACATCAGGGCCCCTTACTTTCTGCAACACACATGTGTGCTCTCATGGCAGCAACTCGACTTTTTCAGACGAACTGAACATCAAGATTCTGCAACAAAGCTGTTTGCGTGTTTTGCAACAGCAGCAACTCAACTATAATACTTAACATCCAGCGTCTGCTACACACATCTCGAACTGAGCCAGGGTTCCCTGCTTTCTGCAACACCCACGTGTGTTCTGACGGCAGCAACTCAACCTTTTCACAAACAGTTAACAGCAAGGTTCTGCTACACAAAAGGATGTGTGTATTTTTCAAACAGCAACAACTCAACTTGTTCAGAAAAGAAACTTAACATCAAGTGTCTGCTACACAGATTCGGAACCTGCTCTCTGCAACACACATGTGTGCTCTCACAGCAGCAACTCAACTTCTTCAAACAAACTTGACATCAAGTTTCTGCTACACAACTCCCGAGCTGAGCCAGGGTTCCCTGCTTTCTGCAACACACATGTGTGCTCTCACAGCAGCAACTCAATTTTTCGCGAAAGAAACGTAACACCAAGTGTCTGCTACACAAATGCCGAGCTGAGCCAGGCTTCCCTGCTTTCTGCAACACACATGTGTGTTCTCAGGGCAGCAATTCAACTTGTTCCAAAAAAACCTGACATCAAATTTCTGCTGCACAAACCCCGAACTGAGCCGCGGTTCCCTGCTTTAAACACACATGTGTGCTCCCACAGCAGCAACTCAACTTGTTCAAGCAAACTTAACACCAAGCTTCTGCTACACAACTCCTGAGCTGAGCCAGGGTTCCCTGCTTTCTGCAACACACATGTCTGTGCTCTCACAACAGCAACGCAACTTCTCCAAAAAACTTAACATCAGGGCTCCTTACTTTCTGCAACACACATGTGTGTTCTCACGGCAGCAACTCCACTTTTTTCACAAATTAGTCACGTCGAGTTTCTGCTACACGAAAGGATTTGTGTATTTTTCCAACAGCAGCAACTCAACTTTAAAGCTTAACATCAAGTGCCTGCTACACAAATCCCGAGCTGAGCCAGGGTTCCCTGCTTTCTGCAACACACATGTATCTTTCACAGCAGCAACACAACTCCCAACTTGGCCAGGGTTCCCTGCTTTGCGCAACTCGCATGTGTGTTCTTACAGCAGCAACTCAACTTTTTAAAAAACTTAACATCCAATTTCTGCTACACAACTCCCAGGCTGAGCCAGGGTTCCCTGCAACACACACGCGAGTTCTTACAGCAACAACCCAACTTGTTCACCAAACTTAACATCAAAAGCAACTTGATGTTAAGTTTGTTTGAGGAAGTTGAAGTGCTGCCACGAGAACATACATGTGTGTTGCAAAGAACAGGAAACCCTGGCTCAGTTCCGAATCTGTGTAGCAGACACTTGATGTTAAGTTTGTTCAAAAAAGTTGAGCTGCTGCTGTGTGAACACACATGTGTGTTGCAGAAAGCAGGGAACCCTGGCTCATCTCGGTATGTGTAGAGCACACTTGATGTTAAGTGTTAAAGTTGAGTTGCCGCTGTTGCAAAGCACACAAACCCTTTGTGCTGCAGAATCTTGATGTTCAGTTTGTCTGAAAAAGATGAGTTGCTCCATGAGAACACACATGTGTGTTGCAGAAAGTAAGGGGCCCTGATGTTAATTATTTTTTTTGACAAGTTGACTTGGTGACTTGCTGTTGTGAGAACACACGTGTGTGCTGCAGAAAGCAGGGAACCCTGGCTCAGTTCGGGATTTGTGTAGCAACAGGGCTGTCTCGAACCAGCACTCAATAATGAGGCGATTGTTTTTTTGCGCATGGCTGAAGCACGTCAAGGCGGACGGTTCCTGTTCGGACAACGTGAAACGTGAATGAAATGGCAACCACAACGCAGGTTGGCGCGAACCAACATTTTAGCACACCAGCGTATTGGTAGAATCTGCTTCACTAACAGCACGGGACTCAGTAGAGGCAGAGCGACAGCGTCTCTTTTTCTTTGACTTCTTTTCCTTTGACTTCTTTTCTTTTTTGCGCTTGTCCTTCTTCTTGCTCTTTTTCTTTTTCTTGGTCGGCTTCACAGGCTTGGTGGTCTTATCCTTGGGAAGGTCCTTGGGAGGGTCGAAAGCAGACGACCAGGAGCTCGCGTCATCAGGAAGCTCATCATACTTGAAGTCCGGATCTAAAGTGTGGCTCATGTTAAACAAGTTGAGCAAGTGCACAAGAGACGGCTGCGGAAGCATGCAATATGTCAATCTCACGCCAGTAACATGAGAAGTGGGCTGCACAGACAAGAGCAGCAACTTTGGCTAAGCGCAAAAATGCTGCCACATTCGTGGTTGAGGCGCTATGATCCATATATCGCTGGTGTCCTGGGCCAGGAGTCCGAGAAACATTAATTAAAGGCAGACACGGTAAGTCTGCGCTCAGGGAGACCTGAGACCGGTCTCTCTTGCATGAAGGACTTGTTGATGAGTCTTCATTGTTGACCAAAGGACGGTCAGCAAGTGTTCGTCTACGAAGCCACGACCTGGTGACTGCGTACCACTGCCACCACCAGTGTTGGCCGTCAGTGCGCCAAGCCCAGCGCCACTGGGGCTCATGAATGTTGGCACGCGGCACAGGAGATCGCGAGCGATCTGACATGGTGTTGGATGCGCGCGGGGTCCCTGCAACAAAATTGGCTGCGGTATAAGCAAATGAAACGGCGTGCCGGTTGGGTACAGCAAGCTCCCTTCCTAGCGCATCAACCATGATTCGAGTCATGGCCAGACAACAAATGTAAAGCTGACAAAAGCTTTTTATCCGTCAATGCCATAAGGTAGCATCAAAGGTCATCTAGACACAGAGTTCTCAAGTTCTCGAACGTGTTGCTGCAGGTCATGGATATCCAGTGTCGTCTTTTCGATGAAATCTGCGAGCACGTCACGAAGTGCACCGTCACGTAGGGCACTGGAAATGGATGAGCCATGAGATGCGGAATTTTCTTCGTCACACTGGCTGAAGCATCTCCACCAAGAATCTCAAGTAGTGCCCGAGTAATAATTTCCTGCCTGCGTGCAGTAGGGCTCTGTGGAGGGTTGGACCCATCGGCTGGCTCCGACGAAGACATGCTGACTACCTTAAGCCAAGAGCAAAACCTGCGCAACAACACAAGGATT